TTATTGATTGATTGCTTGATTGATTGGAATACAACTTAAATCTAAATTGTGATTTTATTTTAGGAAAAAAGTTTATAAATGCATTTGTGCTGAAAGTTGAAGAGTAGCTTAGAAATGTTGGTAGGATAAAAGGACAATTCAGTTTTTTGCTTTGTTTTGTTTTTTTAAGTTTATTTTGAGAGAGAGAGAGAGAGATTGAATGCAAGAGGGGTAGGAACAGAGAATCTCTTTCTCTCTCTGCAGAGAATCCCAAGCAGACTCCACACTGTCAGCGCAGAGCCTGATGCGGGGTTCGAACTCATGAACGGTGAGATCACGACCTGAGCTGAAATCAGGAGTCAGACGCTTAACCAACTAAGCCACCCAGGTGCCCCAAGGATGATTCTGTTTTACATGACTTTTAGTATGTTCTGGTTTATACTGTTTAGTATTACAGCTTCCATACCCACTAAATCTTCTCTCTCTCTTAATTACCTATTAGCTAAGAGGAAGAATAATAAGAGATAAAGTGACAGGTAAAGTGGCCAGTTTATGTAAGTTTTATAATGTCATTGTAAGAGCTGTAGCATTTTATTCCAAAGGAAATGAGAAGGCATTGGAGTTCATTGAGCAGACATTACAATACAATTATAATACCATTATGTACTACACAATTAACAATGTGTTAATATCATCACATACCCAAGCAATATTTATACTTCTAATTCTCCCACAAATGTCATATTTTTAGTTTTTTTTTTAAATCAGGATCTAAATAAGGGACACACCTTGCAATTGGTTGATACAACAGTGTTTTTTAATCTATAAGTTCTCTCCCTACCCTTATTTTATTTTTTTTAACTGTTTAGATTATTTTTAGAAAAATCCAGATTGCTGTTACTAGAGTTGTGGAGACTTCCACATTCTGGTTTTGCTGATGGTATCTTTTGGTGTACTACATGTCTCTGTGCCCCGGTATTCCCTCTACATCATTAATTAGACTTAGAGGTCTACCTAGATTCAGATTTTATTTTTGTCAGATAACTTTTTAGGTGGTGTTGTGTTCTTCCATGAGGAAGTAGAATGTCTAGTTGTTGCTTTTTTTGTGTGATGTTAGCAGCTGTTGATATTCAGTGCTTATGTTTATTAGTCCATTAGGTGTTACAAAATTCTGTTTTTTTTAAAGTTTGTTTATATGAGAGAGAGAGACAGACAGAGAGAGAGAGAGAGCAGGGGAAGGGCAGGGAGAGGGAGAATCCCAAGCAGACTCTAGGCTCTCAGTGCAGAGCGGGGCTCAAGCCCATGAACCCTGAGATCATGACTTAGGCCAAAATCAAGAGTCAGACACTTAACCGACTGAGCCACCCAGGTGCCCCTAAATAATAAGAATTATTATTATTATTATTTTCACGATTTCACTCTGGCTTGAGATAGCTTGGGAGCAGGTAAAGGAGGAGTTAATCATCTAAGTGAGAAGTGTGAAAATGTGTTCAGGAAACCTAATCCAAAATTGGAGTCCGGAAACCATGAAAGGAGGGCTCTCACCACATGACCACTCACCACTTGTGGCAGCTTGCACAGCCAGACAGGAAGGAGGAAGATTTCCTCTCAGCCAGGCAACAGCAAGCTGCCCTCACCCACAGCCAATGAGAAGCCACCGCTGCGCCCATCACCTGCAGCCAATGAGAGGCTGCCACATCACCCACAGCCAATGAGAGGTCACCCCCACTCTTATCACCTACAGCCATATTTTTGTCTTTCACTCTTTTTTCTGCCTTTTGTGGGTTTTGTGGGGTATTTTATATGATTTCATTTTTCTCCTTTCTTCGCATATTAGTTATACTTAAAAGAACCCAAAACTTTAGTTAGAGGTTGCATCAGGGTTTGCAATATACATTTACAACTAATCCAAGTCCACATTCAAATAACACTATACTGCTTCACAGGTAGTGTGAGTTCATTATAGTACATTATAATAACGTAGTAACTCTACTCTAATTCTTCCTTCCTGTCCCATTTATCATTGCTGTCATTCATTTCATATACATATGCCTAATCAAGTACATTGTTTCTCTTATTGTTTTGAACAAACTGTAATGGATTAGAACAATTAAAAATAAAAATAAAAGTTTTATTTTACTCTTATATATTCCTTCTCTGATGCTCTTCTTTTCTTTATATAAATCTGAGTTTCTGAGCTATATAATTTTTCTTCTCTCTAAAGAACTTCTTTTCAGCGGCATCTGGGTGGTTCAGTCAGTTAAGCCTCCAACTTCAGCTCAGGTCATGATCTCACAGTTCATGAGTTCAAGCCCGAGTCGGACTCTGTGCTGACAGCTCAGAGCCTGGAGCCTGCTTCAGATTCTGTGTCTCCCTCTCTCTCTGCCCTTCCCCTGCTCTTGCTCTCTCTTGATATCTCTTTCTCTCTCTCTCTCTCTCTGTCAAAAATAAATAAACATTTAAAAAAATTAAAGACCTTTTCACATTTCTGGCAAGGCAAATCTTCTGGCAACAAACTTCCTTAGTTTTTGTTTGTCTGAGAAAGTGGTTGCATTATATAGTTACAAATTTGAAATTATGGATATTTTCAATGGATTTTCATCTATAGGCCATCATATTTTAAACTGATATACTGTGCTCTTTATAGGTGTTTAGATAGCTAGAAAGCTCACAGGAAATCCTCTGTAGTGAACCACGGCTGAATTCTGAAATTTGTAAATATAGCAGCCATAATACTTTCATAAATTTTATGTTTATTCAACAAATACTTTAATAAATTTTATGTTTATTCAACAAATATTGATAAAATTCATCAAATAAGTTGTTTATGATTATTTTGGATGTTTTTCCAAATCTAAATGGTGAAAATTTGTATATTTTCTCAATTCTATTCCATTTCAATGTAGAATATTAAATTATCCAATTAAAAATAGGAATGCCATCAAAGGAGCATTCCTATACCTCAGGATATCCAAAAGCACAGAGAATTTCAAAGCAAAATATTGTTTACCATAGGAATTCTGATTATTTAATTTTTTCATTCCTCCCTTGCTTTTATAGAATTTATTTCAGTAAATTTCTGCTTTTAAGTTTTGTTTTTATCGGTGAAACTTTTATTTCATTTTATTTATTTTTTATGTTAATGTACTTTTTATTTAAATACAAGTTAACATAGTATAATAATGATTTCAGGAATAGAATTTAGTGATTCATCACTCACATATAACACCCAGTGCTCATCCCAACAAGTGTCCTCCTTGATGCCTCTTGCCCATTTAACCCATCCCCCCACCCAGCTCCCCACCAGCAACCCTCAGTTTGTTCTCTGTATTTAAGAGTCTCTTAGGGTTTTCTCCCTCTCTGTTTTTTTCTTATTTTTGCTTCCCTTCCCCTATGTTTATCTGATTTGTTTCTTAAATTCCACATATGAGTGAAATCATATAATATTTGTCTTTCTCTGACTGACTTATGTTGCTTAGCACAATACACTCTAGTTCCATCCACATTGTTGCAAATGGCAATATCTCATTCTTTTTGATTGCCAAGTAATAGCCCATTGTATATGTACACCACATCTTCTTTATCCAGTCATCAGCTGATGGACATTTGGGCTCCTTCCATACTTTGCCTATTGTCAATAGATCTTCTATAAACATTGGGGTGCATGTGCCCCTTTGAATCAGTGTTTTTGTATCAATTGGATAAATACCTAGTAGTGCAATTGCTGGGTCGTAGGGTAGTACTATTTTTAATTTTTTGAGAAACTTCCATACTGTTTTCCAGAGTGATTGTGCCAGTTTACATTCCCACCAGCAGTGCAAAAGGGTTCCTTTTTCTCCACATCGATGCCAACATCTGTTGTTGCCCAAGTTGTTAATGTCAGCCATTCTGACAGGTGTGAGGTGGTATCTCACTGTGGGTTTGATTTGTATTTCTCCGATGATTGATGTTGAGCATCTTTTCATGTATCATTGGAACTTTTATTCTTATTTATTTTTTCATGTTTATTTATTTTTGAGAGAGAGAGAGAGAGAGAGAGAGAGAGAGAGAGAGAGAGACAGAGCATGAGCTGGGGAGGGGCAGAGAGAGAAAGGGAGACACAAAATCTGAAGCAGCCTCCAGGCTCTGAGCTGTCAGCACAGAGTCCGATGCAGGACTCAAACTCACAAACCGTGAGATCATGACCTGAGCTGAAGTCAGACACTTAACCGACTAAGCCACCCAGGCACCCCTCACTGGAACTTTTAAAAGCAAATTGCAAAAGGTGAAATTTTTGGTACTCCATTCGTTGGATATTTCACTAAAGCTTTTCAAATGATGCAGAACAAAAGGAATACAAATTTAGAGGATTTATTTATAAAATGTTCTACGTAGGTGTAGAATATTCAAGGTTAATTCACAAAGCAGTTTTTAAACTGCTCAAACTTTTCTAAAATTTGCTTAAAACTATGCATTAAAGAGAGAAAGCATATCTTTGTCTTGTGTATAAATTTCAATATCTGCTTCACATGCAGTTTTGTAATTTTTATATATATCTTACAAATATTAGATATACTCGTAAATATTTCTAACAGTTTACATTTAATATATGTATTTATAACTATTAAAAAATATGTATATAGTAGTTCTAAGTGTTGACAGCTGGAGTGTCTGTTTTGATTAGAAGATGTCACAGATTGTTTCTAACATGTGTACCACAACCACTTCCTAGTACATTTCTGCCTCATGAAATTCTCAGCTCAGTAAGAAAACTTTTTTTTTTTACCACAACACTATGCTTTACCAAAATTTGCATTTATATTATCACTGCACACAATTTTATCTTCAATTTTGACCTTTAAGTTCATTTACAATGACATTCGCAAAATGTTAGCTATTTCATTTTAGGCAGACTACTTTTCTAAACGCTTTGTTTTGATTCCATTAATTGGGTAAAAAAAGTGTAAGTTATCTTAAAAATCTAAATTACCTTAAATGATTGCTTATTTTTAGTATCTGATTATACTGAGATAAAACTGGCATCATCATTAACTATTATCACTTCAGTTTTCCTACATGGACAAGAAAACTTGGAGTCAAAAATAAACTAAATTAATTTTGAAGAGAGTCGTTTAATGGATGCAAAAATTCATGTTTCCCAGAACAATATTTAAATGTACCTTTTGTAATTGCCTCCGCTAAATCATCTCTGGGCACAGCTTTCTTCTAATCACTACTGAATCAATTTTGAATTCAGTGCTGAAGTTTGCCAGTAGATGTGTATCTGGTTTTCACGTGGTCACTGATGTCACCACAGCCTGTAAGGGTCAACATTTTGTATAAATTACACTTTGATTATCAATTATTTTTTGGCAGGTAAATTCATCTGCTTAAGTTTTCACTGAACATTCACTTTCATTTCTTTTTCAGCTCACTGCTGCTGAAAAGATTTATTGCAAAAATAAAAGCTATATTCTCAAACAATAAAATAAATAAGTAGTTATAGATTAATAGGAGGCCGTGAATGACAAGACCCTTGTAACAAAGTTCACTACACTACTAAGACTAATCTTTTTCTTGAATATTTTTTATGTCCACCTGACCTGTAATTCCTGTGTTTCCCACTGACCTCACTGACTGGCAACCTGTATCTTCATGTGTTTTGCAGGCCATGGTTGATACACCAAGTGTCTGACTGCAACAGGAGCCTCCAGTATTTTCCTATCACCACCCAATACCATCTCTTCTATCCAGACTTTTTTTTTTTTTTTTTTAAAGCAGTAAGTGTCCTCAGTGCTACATTTGAGAGGGAGGCATTAGGCTTCATCTGGAAATGATTGGGAAAAGAGAGGTTATTTTAAGACTTAAAAAAAAATTTTTTTTTAACCTTTATTTAGTTTTTGAGAAACAGACCACGAACAGGGGAGGGGCAGAAAGGAAGACACAGAATCCGAAGCAGGCTCCAGGCTCTGAGCTGTCAGCACAGAGCCCGATGCGGGGCTCAAACTCACAAACTGCGAGATCATGACCTGAGCCGAAGTCAGACACTCAACCGACTGAGCCACCCAGGTGCCCCTAGAGAGGTTATTTTAAATGTAACCACATGTTAATGTGAAAACTCTGTTTACTGGCCAAGCATCTTCCACATTACTAGATAAGACCAGGGCAGGAGCTGGAAGTACAAAGCAGAGACCTAACAAACCATCCCAGCTCATTGTAATTAAAATGATAATGATATTTCATTAAGAATGAAAAACCTAGGGGGCGCCTGGGTGGCTCAGTCGGTTAAGTGTCCAACTTCAGCTCAGGTCATGATCTCACAGTTCCTGGGTTCCAGCCCTGCGTCAGGCTCTGTGCTGACACCTAGGAGCCTGGAGCCTGCTTCAGATTCTGTGTCTCCCTCTCTCTCTGCCCCTCCCCTGCTTGCACTCTGTCTCTGTCTCTCTCAAAAATAAATACACATTTAAAAATTAAAAAAAAGAAAAGAAAAATCTAGGACACATGCTAGGTCAGATGGGAGGCACAATCCAGGGCTGTTCTATGCAAACCAAGAAGGTTCTGGAGAAACAAATATATGATTACTCCACTATTAGCTAGTCATGTGGAGATAGTCATGCATACAGTTAGATAAATGAGCCTGGAGTTCCTGAGACGTGTCTGTTCTCGCACACATTTGGGAATCTACACATTTGGGAATCATAAGTATGTAAATATCATATTTGAAGCCAGGAGATTGGATGAGGTCACCAGTGGGGATAAGTGGCATAGGGAAGGGGAGAGGTCCACAGACTATGCCCTGGGCACTCCATCATGGGAAAGGGAGACAAGAGGAGGGGCCAGCAACAGAGACTGAAAGCTGAAACTCAGATTGTAGAATCACTTACCCAGTTGCAAAGAGTGCTCAGGGTATTCACTCAGTGTTTGCTATATGCTAGGAGCTTTTACACTCTCATGGGACTCCTGAAGAAGCGGTCCACGGGTCTGGGCACAGAACACAAACCATAATGCAGGTCATTATAAGACCAGAGGGAAGAATAAAGGGTGTGCCAAACAGGAGAAGGCAGGCCTCTTATAAAGGAATTTATAAAGTACATTTCATAAATTGGGGGAGCCAAGGAAATTGTGTCTGTGGACCAGATAAAACCCTTGGGTCATAAGTTTGTGATACTTGCTATATTAACTTTTCAAAAGATATTCCTATGTTCCCAGGCAGGATAAATGCATCCGAGGGCCCCATAGCTATTAAGTGGCAGATTCTGGGATGTAAACTCAAGTCTGCTGGCTGCAGAGTTGGGGTTCTTTTCACTGCACCAAACTGCTACCCTAGAATTTCTAAAACCAAATCTTGCTGGAAGCTGACTGATAAATCTAAGCACCAAGCTGGGTCTGTCTATACGTCTGTTGAAGCGAATGCAAAAAGTGGAGAAAATGATATATTTTTTTTCTTCTAGCATATTCTCATTGGTACTTTTAAATATTTCTAGGGGCACCTGGGTGGCTCTTTCAGTTAAGCATCTGACTTCAGTTCAGGTCATGATCTCATGATTTGTGTATTTGAGCCCCATGTTAGACACTGTGCTAACAGCTCAGAGCCTAGAGCCTGCTTCAGATTCTGTGACTCCCTCTCTCTCTCTCTGCCCCTCCCCTACTCTCACTCTGTCTCTCTCAAAAATCAATGAAATATTTCAAATAAATAAATAAACAAACAAACAAATAAATAAACAAACAAATGAATAAAATATTTCTACCCTTACTCCATACTCATTTTAAAAGGAAAATGGAGTCACTTGTGTATATTTTTAACTGGAAGTTCCGTAGCTTAAGAAAACATATGGAATGCAGGCACCACAGATAGAAGAAAAGTCACAGAGGTATCCAGGAATCCTAAGGTCATATAAGTGTGTTCATGGCCCCCTTAACATGACTGGGAGACCGAATGACCCCAAAATGCTGCCCATTGTTCTTGGAGTCATTGACCTTTAACTTTTTTCCTTTCTGGCTTACTCCTGAATTCAACCTGTCTGTTCATTATAGGTGGCTAGAATGTTCCTTCTTGGCTGTACCTCTTATATTTCCTTTGGAACCCACAAGAGGTAGTGGTTAGAACATTGACCTTGGGTCAGCAGGCTGGTGTGTAGGGCCGGGCTTGGCCACATACTCTCTATGTGGTGTTTGAGCACATCGCCCAGCCTTTCAGACTCTTGCCTTTTTATTTTTGAAATTCCAACATTGGGATAAAAACACCTTCTGCCATTACTGCCTTAGACACCTGAGAGCCCAAAATAAAGTCTTGGTAATTTCACCTTTGTGAGAACACTTTGTTAACTCTGTGGACGTAAAGATTCTTATTTTAAAAACAAGCAGGAGGAAAGACGAATGCGGAGTGTGCTTGTGTGGCAAAAGGAAAAGGAAGGCTTAAAAAAAAATCAGATGGTGAGCGAGGGAATTGCCATGGGGTAGAAAGAGAGATGGCTAGCCACGATCAAGAACTTGTAGAAATCATGCTCCAACTTTTTGTGCTGAATTTTGTTCCCGAGTTTTTAGTGTTTCAAAGGCAATTGTGTGTCCCCAGGGAGTGAGGACACAGTGTGAGGGCAGGGAAAGGGGAGGAGACCAGCTTTCTGCCCAGCTGTGAGTTTTCTCACTGTGTCTCTAAGACAGACAGAGACCCGGTGTTCTGGAGTTCCCGGCCCATATGAAATTATGCAACTGAACATATGACTGTGGATGACACTTTCAGTGCTGGGGAGAAAAGGTTTGGATTTTTAAATGAGATTTTATAGGCAAATGGATAACGTAAGGAGGCCCAAGGAGGGTGAGTGTTCACTCAGTCTTTGAAGACTGTATAGTTCACAGGGCTTTCCACATCCTCTCCTTTCCTTGTAACAGCAACTCTGTGCAAACAGGGAAGATAGCATTATCTTTGTTTTATAACTAAGGCATATGAGGCCATATTGACTGAGAACTGGCAAGGGGTGGAATGTAGACTAGGATGTGGGCTGTTATCTTGCCTACTCTTTTCCCACCAAGCTATCCAGGGCCCATATGTGCTGAAGCCCAGAGAGATTAAACAACTCTTAAAAGGTCACACAGCAGTAAATAAGAGAGCCAGGACTTTCATCTGGGCACTCTGACTCTATCTCCTATGCACTCTCCACTATTCCATGCAGCCTCACTAAGGATTCATGGAAAGGTGATTTGACAATTGCTGGGTACTAAGTAGGTGCTAGGGCAAAGCCCTGGCCTCAGCAAAATGGCATTCCATGACAGTGGGTGACACACCTGGGTCGGAATGTGCCACACAGTTTTCACTATATTGTTAGGTACTGCTTTTGAAGTTTTATCTTTTTATTTCCCTTAAGGCCCCCTGGTGCTGAGGACTACGAGAGAATACAAAAAGAAAAAGAAATATCATCAAAAAGCCTTATACAATGGGTCTGGTATGAGAACTCTATGGCATGGGATGGAATTTGAGAGCTTTAGATGGGCAGCTGAATTACTAGGTTGGAGAAGAAAGACCACTGTCACTCCAGGGAAAGTATAGCCCAGGATGGAGAAACAAAACAAAAGCACCCCAAGTAACTTGCAATTGATATAAACCTTCCCTGAAGTTTCCATAGCATTAGAGATGGTCTTCTTAAAGTCAGGGACATTTTTGTAGTGCCTTGGAACATTTAAGGTAAATAGTGGGTTCCCTTGAATGTGCAGGGGACAGCACATTTCTTATAAGCAGTAACATATTAAAATAAAAAGAAAATGTCAGGGTTCCCGGGTGGCTCAGTTGGTTGAGCGTCAGACTTCAGCTCAGGTCATGATCTCATGGTTTGTGAGTTCAAGCTCCGTGTTGGGCTCTGTGCTGACAGCTCAGAGCCTAGAGCCTGGATCCTGCTTCAGATTCTGTGTCTCCCTCTCTCTCTCTGCCCCTCCCAACTCTCTCTCTCTTTCTCTCTCAAAAATAATAAATGTTGAAAAATGTTACTTAAAAAAGGTCATTAAAAAAAAAGAAAACGTTGGGGCGCCTGGGTGGCGCAGTCGGTTAAGCGTCCGACTTCAGCCGGGTCACGATCTCGTGGTCCGTGAGTTCGAGCCCCGCGCTGGGCTCTGGGCTGATGGCTTGGAGCCTGGAGCCTGTTTCCGATTCTGTGTCTCCCTCTCTCTCTGCCCCTCCCCCGTTCATGCTGTGTCTCTCTCTGTCCCAAAAATAAATAAAAAACGTTGAAAAAAAAATTAAAAAAAAAAAAAGAAAACGTCTTCAATAAGGTAGGTAGCATTTAATAAATGTGTTGTCATGGGAAGAGCAGTAGGTATTGGGGGAGGAGATACATACATGGTGCATAAGGGGAAATGGCGATGTTAGTGATAATATGTCACTCAGGAGAGAGAACTGACAAGACCTGCTGAGCTAAGTCTTAACTAAAGTCATAGCAGTTAAGTTGGAATTGATCACTCTTACTTCTAATTTCGACTACAGTTGACCCTGGAACAATGTGGGGTGAGGAGTGCTGACCCCCCGTGCGGTAAAAAAATCTCTCCAAAACTACTAGTAGCCTACTGGTGACCGAAAGCCTTACTGATAACATAAACAGTTGATTAACACATGTTTTGTATATTATATGTATTATCTACTATATTCTTACAATAAAGCAATCTAGAGAAAAAATGTTATTAAGAAAATCATAAGGAAGGGAAAATACACAGTAGTGTATTATACTTAGATAAAAAAAAGTCTGCATGGAAGTGGACCCATGTCGTTCAAACCCGTGTTATTCAGGGGTCAACTGTAAATTTTATATAATACAGAGATGTCTGTAAAAACAGTTTTCTGAAGGTGTTCTTTATGGCAAAATCAAGCAGCACAGAATATTTCATTAGGCTAGAGTAGAAAACATTGGTCTTCCAAATTCTCCATTGATGTGTTTATTTTCTTCTGAGTGCAGTGTCACTCACTGCTATACAAGGGCTGTATGTGGTTAGCAAGATTTAGTCTTATCAATAGTGCCTGAGGTTTTATTTATCTCTTTGTTATAGCTGGCACTATCAATAGTGTATAAGAGAGGTTGGTGAGATTGATGGGGAAAAATAGGTAAGTTAGGCCTCGGTTACAATTCTCATTGTGTGTGCGTGTGTACACATACATCTTCAGAGAATCAACTGGCCTTCGTTGATCATTTTCAGTTTGTTAGCACAAGAATGTGGAATGCCCAGGAGTTAACCATAATGGCACTTCTAAAGAGAGAATATTGGGGAAGAAAACCTTATGCAACATTTTTGTTTTAGTTCTACACATGAAGAAAGACAATGGAGCTACAAGATGGGACAGTGACCCAGAAGGGAGAAGATGTGGGATTGAATGCTGATGCACCTTTATCAAAGTATAGGCTTTTTCTTAGCCTGGGCTTCCTTAGACTGAGGGGCTGAAAGAAGGGAGATGGTCTCTAAGGTCCCTTCCAGCTCTGCTTTTTGAATCTCGGATGAATGGAGAGCAAACTGTTAATTATTTTGGGAGTGGTCATCCTTTATGTAGAATCTTAGAGTTGAAAGAAAGCTTTTGGACTAATCTGAGCAGTTCAATTACTTGATTAAAAGTACATGTTTAGTTTTCCCAGAGCTGGGTCTATATTCAGGTAAATGATCCCTAGCCTAGTGTGACTTCTAGTCTATCCGATTTCCCACCATCTTGCAAGTATTGAGCACCTACCGCATGTGAGAGCCCATGCTTCGGCACTAGGGATATCAGAAAAGATCTCTCTCCTTGAAATGTCCTTCCCTCTTGGTTTTGGTGATGCCATGCTCTTTGGGCTTTCTTCCACATCTCTGGCAGCCTTTCTGGACTTCCTGAAACCATGTTTCAAGTAAAACACATCTATTCCCAGAGAAATGAAAGTCCACGTTGCTCCCTTCATACCACGTACTCATTAGGTCTAAGTTCCACCTGTCCCAGAGACTGATAACATCCATCAGCATTTCTTTCCCAGCATGGAAGAATGATAGGACCTGTGTTTCTTTTCAATATCTCCCAAAGATGGTTCTTTCTTAAATCACAGTTTGATCAAGTGACTGGGTACACACGATGAGGACAAAAATCAACACTGGTATCTCTCCTAACTTGCTTTTGGAAAAGTGATATAATCACTCAGTGCCTTGGTTTCCCAGTTGCAAAATGGAACTAATATGTTGCCAGCATATTCCATTTTACATGTTAGAGTTCATCAAGGTTTAGAACCATTGCACAATGCTCTCTCCCCAGGCAATTGTAACCATTCTTGTGGCATCAGTCCCATCTACATACCAAGAAGTCCATCCCCTTGGGCACCCCAGCAGAACGCTGGGAGATAACATGGTCTCATTCCTGTCCCCACCTAAATGTCTAATCAGTCACAAAGTCCCAACAAGCCTCCATTTTCTCTGCCATGGGCTTCCCTCTTACTGGCCTCCTCCAAATCCCTTGTTCTCCTTTGATGCATTCTCCGCACCAGTGGTATCCTGAGGGCTGGGGTAGGGAAAGGCGGGCAGATGTGCCCTGGGTGCAGTTAGGAAAGGGGTGCATTGACTATAAAGAATTTAAAAGCAATAATAAAACCTTTAAAAGTCAGTCCATTTTTTACTATCACCATGCATGGGCAATTCTAAAGGATTTCAGCAGTAAAAAAGTAATCCCTGAAAAAAAATCTTTTTTGATGATCTAAGTTCTATACAATTGCTGCAGTTCCTGTGGAATTTTAATAATTAATATATGAGCTTTAAATGAGTCCATCTGAATACTTACCCTTTAACAAACATTGTATTCTACGTGGAAATGGACTCTGAGCTCTAAGTAACACAGTGGGCCCCTGACATGCATGGACTTGTTGGTCTTTTGAAAGTTAAGTTTGTGATGGTTCTGAACCAGAGGAGCTCATTTTCATTATGGTTTTTGTCTCTAATCCTTCTGTAGCTTTACATTCAAGCATTTAAACAGCAGATCCAAATTACATGATGATAGCACAGTGATTATAAAGATAAAGAAACAGAACTTGAGTTACTTCAGTTATTCCACGTGACCACGTAGAGACTTGATACGTTTAATGTTTTCAACAGCAAAACTTTGATATGTGCACTTTTTTGTTCATACGCGAAGTGATTTACTGAATTTAAATAATGTCTTTAAAATGGAAATGTCTTTCCATTTAAATGTCTAAAATTTTAAATGTCTTGTAAAGGTATTGCACTAAACCTAAACAATTCCAGAAAACAAATAATAGTTATTGGAAACAATCTGGCCCTATGGAGAAGGGCGAGTGTTAAAAATGACCTGCCTGGTGACTCAGTTGGTTAATTGTTCGACTTCAGCTCAGGTCATGATCTCATGGTTTGTGAGTTCAAGCCCCGCATCAGGCTCTCTGCTGTCAGCGCAGAGCTTGCTTCAGATCCTCTGTCTTCTTCTCTCTCTGCCCCTCCCCCATGCTCTCTCTCTCTTTCTCAAAAATAAATAAATATATAAATAAATAAATAATTAAAAAAAAAATGAGCTACCACATTTCAACAAGGTAGCCAGAGTGACCTGTTTTAAAACAAAACAAAACAAAACAAATCAAAACAAAACAAAACAAAACAAAAAAACAACCCAAGACTGATCCTTGCTTAAAATCACTGAGTTCCAGGGGTGCCTGGCTGGTTGGGTCCATGGAGTGTCTGACTCTTGATCTCAGGGTTGTGAGTTCAAGCCCCATGTTGGGTGTAGAGATTACTTTAAAATCTCAAAAAAAAAAAAAAAAAAAAGTCACTGACTCCCAACCTTCATGCTGGAGAACAAGGTCATATGCAGTGTGATTCCTTGCCACCTCATCTTGGGTCACCCTACACCCCAACTGTGTAGCTGCCAGTCACACCAGCGCTTCTTCACTTTTGTGTGCTAAGCTCCTTCCCTTCCCCCTTTGCCACGTGGATTCCCGTATCAGTGCAAATGTCCCTTCCTGGGGAAGGCTTCTCTAACTCCAGTGTTACCCCTCATATAATCTTCCAGCATCTTGTACTTGAGCACTTTTCAAGGTTGCTAATTACCTTGTGCATATGACCCTTAAACACGAGGAGCTCCCCCATGCAGCAGCTGAGCAGCTCGAGAACAGGTACCCTGTCTGTGTGGTTACATCTCCACTGTCACCTCAGTGCTTAGCACATGTTAGTGCTCAGTAACATTTGTGGCATAAGAGAAAACACCCTGGAATGGGCCTTATCTGGAGGGTGTTGTCGAAGGGGAGCTCCTTAAGATCCTTGGTTTTATTTATTATCATTATTTTTTTAACTCCCAGGGAAGCAGGTCCAGATCACAGACTGCCACGTTCTGGAGGATGACTGGCTGGTGGCTCTGGCTGGCCACCAGCCCCGCTCTCTGTCTCTGCATCGCTGCCGCCATGCTGGCCAGGCCATGACGGACCAAGGGCTGAAGCGACTTTTCCAGCACTGCGGGGATGTTCTTCAGGTATCAGTACTGGCCACATACATGATGCTTTTTCCCCCAAGGGGAATTGTATGGATCAGGTTCTAATGGCTTTCTCCCTACCTTTCCCCTCACTCCCCATAAAACAAAATCTCTTTTGTATGGGATTGCACAAAAAATGCAGTCTATTAAATGGGCACCACATTTCACGTAGTATAAAAAGTGAAAATAGTAAGAAAAGATATCCTCTGAGGTACCTCACTCACCCATGTTGTATCAGTTGGTGAGGGCTGTCATAACAGAGTACCACAGACTGAATGGTTTAAAGCACAGAAATTTATTGTCTCGTACTTCTGGAGTCTAGAAGTCTGAAAGCAAGGTGTCATCAGGGTTGGATCGTTCTGAGGGCCATGAGGGAGGATCTGTCCCATGCCTCTTTCCTACGTTCTGCTAGTTTGCCGGAAATCCTTGACGATCCTTGGCTTGTAAAGCACCACCCACCTCTGCCTTCATCTTCACATGGCATATGAATGATGTGTGCATTTGTCTGTGTCCAAATATCCCCTTCTTAGAAAGACACCAGTCATATTGCATTAGGGGCCCTCCTTATACCAGTCTGACCTCATTTTAACTAATTACATCTGCAATGAACCTATTCCCAAATAAGGTCACGTTCTGAGGCCCTTGGGGATGTGACTTCAAAATGTGAAGTTTTGGGACTCATACTTCAACCCATAACACATATCCCACATGATATTTTAATGTCAGATTGGACATGCATACAGGTGAAAAAACACTTTATAATTATCTGAGCATAGAACAACACTATTTTACATATACAAAGTAATTTTTGCACAGTTTTAATATGTGTTGAATTTCTCAGAAATGCAACTACCAGGCTTATTGAGGAAAAAGTATGCTGTTTTGTTTGGAAATTTACCAAGAGTTGCTCATGGCTTTGGAAATAGCATGTCATTAATAGCAACACCGGGTGTAACATTGGATCACCAAGACAACGCATGGAAAGCACTCTATGTTTACAGAAAAATGTCGAGCTCCTGCAACTGTAAAAATGATCTGGAATATGCTTTTCATTTTGTTACATAGTTTTCTTCTTTTGAGGCAGAGAAAAATGGGGTTGCAAAATGTTCTAAGCCAGATTTACAGATATTCCCCAAATATTTCCATAAATATTATGGGGCACACACACACATACATATGATACCTAAGTGATATATGTGTAAAGTTAAATATTTGTGGCATCTGGGAGATTTGAAGCATAATGATACTATAAAACACCTTGAAGATTTACCATTACCTCTTAAAATTCCTCTTAAGATCGCTAATTGTTGTTGGTCTCACTTCCGTTTTCATCCAGTTCCTAAGGGGCTCTGTCTTTTCTGCACAGCTGTGTCCCCAAGTTTTCAAAAGCCCAACAGTTTAGTTGTATCCTCACTTATGGGTTTTAAATGGTGGGAAATATTCCTGGGATTTTGAATACGAGGACTTTACTAAAAGAGTGGGGGTGTCGAGTGCCTCATTTAGCATATGTACCATTCACATATTTGAAAATTTCAGTCTGACAGAAGCATCCAAAAGGAATTTTAAACATTTAGTGAGAGTTTCTAACCTTCATCTGAGTTCACAGATTAACAATTTAGGAGGACAGAAGGTGCCTGCGCTATGTTGACATTCATGGATCAACTGGTGTGCAAATATTGGATTCTTTCTTGCTATAATAACAGGCAAATAGCAACACATCTACTCTCCAGAAAGGCAAAATTATGAGATACTCAAAGGGGTGCATGGGTGTGTGTGTGTGTGTGTGTGTGTGTGTGTGTGTGTGTAGAATTCTTTTGAATCCAGGGAAACAGCACATAATAGGGGCTCAGTAAAAATTTAATAAAAAAGGGGCGCCTGGGTGGCTCAGTTGGTTGAGCGTCTAACTTCAGCTCAGGTCATGATCTTGCGGTTCATGAGTTCAAGCCCCACATTGGGCTCGCTGCTGTCAGCCTGTAAGTGCAAAGCCTGCCTCAGATCCTCTGTCCCCCTCTCTCTGCACCCCACCTTGGGCTCTCCCCAAAATAAATATTTTTTTAAAAATTTAATAAAAAGAGTCACATTACTCAGTCACAAAAAGAATGAAACCTTGCCATTTGCAGTGACATAAATGAGCCTAGAAGGTATTATGCTAAGTGAAATAAGTCAAAGACAAAAGCCACATTATTTCACTTATATGTGGATTCTAAAAACCAAAACAAACAAATGGATTCTTTACAGGGAATTGGTGATTGCCAAAGGGGAGGTGGGGGGATGGGTGAAATAGATGAAGAGGATGAAGGGCTACAAACTTCCAGTCATAAAACAAAAAAGTCACAGAGATGAAAACTAGCATAGGTAATATTGTCAACAATATTTCAATAATGTTATATGGTGACAGACGGTGACTATACTTACCATGGTGAGCATTGAGTAATGTATACAATTGTTGAATCACTACGTTGTACACCTGCAACAAATATAACACTGCACCTCAATTACACTTCAATAATAATAATGGAAAATCACAAACGTTATTCCAGAGCTAAAAGGACCCTCAGGGATTATCTAGGCCTTTCCACCTGCCTGTCATCTTCTCCTTTTCAAATTAATCATACTGAGGTCCACAGAGATGAACTGAGTTCTGGCGATTACTCATATACTTGGCCTACTTTGAGGGATCTTATAAAAAAAAAAAAACAGTTGGTTTTGCATTTGTATACAAATGTCTTTGAGGACTTAACTTATGGCTCCCTGAAGAGCCTTCACCTTCAAGAAATCTTTTGGTTTTTTTGCCTTTTTAGCACTTCCTTCGTCCTCTTCACATATCATGGATTATTAAACTTCAGCTCAGAGCATTCTTTACCGCTATAGTAGTCTCCATTGAACTCTTTATGGTGACCCATGAAATAAATTTCTCAAAAAACTTGGACTTAGGGATATTTGTCATTCTTCTGAGTAACTTATTTGTATTTACTTTATGGAAGGTATGACTATGCTTTCTGCTTTGCCATGGCTGCTAAGAAATCTAGATTCAAATTTGTAAAATTAGACATCTTAGTAGGACATAGCATGTTATGACTTATATCTTCTAAGCTAACCTAAACTTTGGTCTCATTTTATTTTTCATGCCTTTTTTTTCTGTTTCCTCCTTTTTTCTCCATTTCTTATGTTTAATCTTATCGACCGTGGGTATTTTGAAGTTACACAAGATCCTTTTCAATATTATGCTTCACAATCTTCTTCGGATCTATTATTTATTGCACTACAAAATATGCCAGGCAATGTCAACAGACCCACCTCAGCAGGTGTGATGAGACAGTCTTAAAAGATAGAGAATCCAATTAGCTGCCTTTTTAATATTGAATAAAACTTTGGGGAAAAAAATGAATAAAACTTTGGGGCCCTGCCAAGTAGGAGTAATATGAAAAGAATTCAGGTTTCTCTCGAGTTCTAAGGTCTCTTCAGCTAAATGGGAAATAAAGATCATATTTAACACATATTAAAAAATACAGTATGTCTTAAAAATATAATATAGGGAGCGAAATTAACCCAGAACTCTCTCTAGTGGTAGAGTAACCCTGGATGGGATTTATAAGCTCAAACATGACTTGAAAACTATGTCATGTTGTGACGTCACCCCAGAAATGTGGAATGTTTGATTAACTCCTTCTCTAAGTTTTATAGTCCTCGTTAAAGGCGTAAATTAGGGCTCTGTGTCACCTGGGTTTTGAACAAGAATTTGTTCTACATTCCACCAATCATTCTGGTGGTTAAGGATGTTTAGCAAACTGAGGATGCAGCTCCAAAGATTGCTTGGAAAAGTAGCCTCAGAATTGCTGGGGATGATTTAAATTGTCTTCTTGATGAATTACCAGATTGTAATCCTAGAAATGAAGACTAGAAATGTTGATGAGAATCAAGCCGATATTACTAATATTTTGTACAAAAATCTGTGCATGTTTGTGTTTTAAGTATTTATAAAATTTAAGAGAAATTTGGATTATTAAAGTAAAATTATCTAATTTAATTTTTTTTTTCAACGTTTATTTATTTTTGGGACAGAGAGAGACAGAGCATGAACGGGGGAGGGGCAGAGAGAGAGGGAGACACAGAATCGGAAACAGGCTCCAGGCTCTGAGTCATCAGCCCAGAGCCCGACGCAGGGCTCGAACTCACGGACCGCGAGATCGTGACCTGGCTGAAGTCGGACGCTTAACCGACTGCGCCACCCAGGCACCCCAAAATTATCTAATTTAAAGTGCATAATTCCAAATACCATATGATTTCACTCATATGTGGAATTTAAGAAACAAAACAGGTGAACACAGGAGCAGGAAAGGAAATATAAGATAAAAACAGAGAAGGGGGTAAACCATAAAAGACTTAAATACAGAGAACAGGGTGGCTGGAAGGGAGGTGGGTGGGGGGATAGGCTAAATGGGTGATGGGTGATGGGGACTAAGGAGGGCACTTATTTGATTGAGCACTGGATGTTATTCATAAATAATGAATCACTAAATTCTACTCCTGAAGCCATTATTACATAACTATATGTTAACTAACTTGGATTAAAAAAAAATTTTTTTTTAAAGAAAACTTTTAAAAAAGTGCATAATTGAATGAGTGATTTATACATGTAGGCTAGGATGTGCATCCATGCCACTCTGAGCCCTGGTTTTTCTCATCCCTCCATGCAGGAAACTCTAAGAAAGTAACTGATTAGTGTAACTCAATTGCTCTCCAGTAAATAAGTTAATGCTTAATTTCTGGGTGCTGTTTCCTTTCGTGTACCAGGTGTCTCATTTTCTCTGCATGTGCTGTGTCCTTTCTTAACCGTGTGTGTTTTCTCATGCTGTTCCAGATCCACACTACCAGTCCCATCTCTACCTGGAAAAATTCAGTCCGTCCTTCAAGGCACAGCAGAAATGTCCCCTTGGCTGACATCTTCCCCTTCTTCTTCCTCTTCAAGCAGGATATTCTGCAACCTCTATGGTGTTTTACCTTTCTTGCTCTGAAAGAAGTAGGTGTGACTGTCAACTGTGTGATCACATCTCCACGAAGGCACAGATCATGACTCGGACACAGTGTCCATCCATAGCAGTCACTTAACGCATGTCAAATTGAGCTAACCTAATGAGTTAAATTGGCATTAAATATGCCGACCAGCTAGATGACAGGTCCAAACTCGGCCAACTGATATTCGGGGTCCTTTAAAATGACAGGGATTGGAAATATAATCTAGTTCTCTCTGTTTCAAAGTCTTGTGTTCTATGGAGAATTTAATTTGAAGACAGACTTCTGTAGCATAAAATAGCATGAAAGCCACTGACTCTGAACAAAGCCCTTTGTTTTCAGATGCATAAACTGAAGATTTTTTAAATATAAAAATCTAGATATCTAATTTCTCTGTGAAATGAAAAGACTCAGCAATACGGGTTCCCATTCTTTATATATATATATATATATATATATGTATATATATAGATAGAGAGAGAGAGAGAGAGAGAGAGAGAGAGAGAGAGAGAGAATGCGAGCAGGGCAAGGGCAGAGAAAGTGAGAGAGAGAATCCAAAGCAGGCTCCTTGCTGTCAGCACAAAGCCCAACTCGGGGCTCAGTCTCCTGAACTCCAAAATCAAGAGTCAAACACACTCAACTGACTGAACCACCCAGGCACACCTATGGGTTCCCATTCTTGAAAAGTATCAATCTGCTGGAACGCTCTGCAGTTTGCCACAGTCCTCACCAGTCCCTGTGGTCTCCCTGATGCAGAACCTAAGTGTTAAATCAGTGCTAAAACTCCAACAAAATGACTCTAGCATACCATGGTAATACACTTGGCTTTCTCCCCTTGTTCACGTTACTTACCTGTCACTGTTCAAGTTCAAGGCAATTAAACTTGAGGCTCCAGATTTGCAATAGGTGTGCTTCTGTGAGGTACTCTGGGAAAAATATTGTTTCCAAATCAAATTTCATCTGAAATGTATGCAATTTACTATTCAGAGAAACCCACTGTAACTATAAAAGAATTCTTTTGTACATCAAATACGCACACTTGATTATAATCCTTTTGCCCTAACAAAGAGCTACATCTTAGCTTGGCATATAATTTTGAGAGCTCAACTTGTCCTGTTAGAATTGCACAGAAATTTCTTCTTTTTATTACTATGACATTTACTTTTGCATGGGAGAAGCTTGGGTTCAGTGATTACCTTTCTTCTGCAAGTAATCTGTTTGTCTGGCTTCCTTTTCCTACATGGATAAGATCATATCACTTATACAATTTTCATCATGAAAATAAAACTGTTGCCAAGACAAGCTGAAGACTGAGCAATATTAAATTAATTTTTGCAAGGGACACGGTGGGCTCATTAGAGCTGTAGACTCAGACTTTTTTTTTTTTGCCCTAGAAAGTTTTTCTTTTTGTACATAGTCTTTGAAAAGTTTTATTGGTGAATAAATGTCATATAAAATGTATGCATGCTACGTGTACAGTTCAGTGATTTTCGGTCTTAGAACATTTTCATGATCCCAGAAAATTCCTGTGGGCTCACATGCAGTTAATCCTTGCTACCACTCCCCAGCCCTAGCCAATGCTGAGCCGGGAATGTGCTTGCCTCGGTCAGGACCTCAACCTCAGGCAGAAGAGCTACTGTCCCCTCCCCATTTCTCTCCATCACCTCCTTCATCACTTCCATCAACAATCCCATTGGGCATGGGTGTTACCGCCACCCCAAAGGGACTGAACCACCTTCCCTGGAAGCACAGCCTGCCCCCTGTCCTGGCAGAGCCCCATGCCTACAGAGCTGGAAGAAGCGGGGAAGTGATTGGAGCTGCCGGTCCAAGAATGTCTCAGACTCCCACTGTTCCTTCTTGAAGTTTAGCTGCTGTTCAAGCACAAATACTTTGTGGATAAATTATTGTTTACAGTTGTCCACCTGATCTGGATCTGATTTGGACCCGATTTTGGATCTTTGCTCGCTTTGCTCGCTTTGCTCTGTGATCTGTTGCTCGCTTTTTATCTTATCTTCATCTCTTTTTCCTTCTGGGTTTACTAGTTGGTCTTTGATCGCACTGATTCTGGTTTCTAGTTCACCTCATCACACTTGTTCTGTTTTCTGCAAGGCACTTTCTGCTCTGCACTGCCGTTGAGATGCCCTTTAGCTGGCTCTGGCCACATTTGTTTCTGTACATTTCTTACGTGTCCTTGCTGTTTACCTTTTTATATCAGCCCTTGTGCCTCAATGAGTTCTTTCTCCGTCATTTCTTTCTTTCTTTTTTTTTTTTTTAAGTTATTCTGTGTTTTTGAAAATAGAAATGCTTTCTAAAATTTTTATCTGACTCCTCATTGCTAATAATAATAATTTTCCCTGGGGTGCCTGGGTGGCTCAGTTGGTTAGGCATCCAACTCTTGATTTTGGCCCCAGTCATGATTCTCACAGTTCATGGGTTCAAGCCCTGCATTGGCCTCTGTGTGCTGACAGTGTGGAGCCTGCTTGGGATTCTCTCTCTCTCTCTCTCTGTCTCTCTCTCTCTCAGTGCCCCTCCCCCACTCATGCTCTATATCTCTCTCAAAATAAATAAATAAACATTAAAAGAATTAAATTCTTCTGTTAAAAAAAAGAATAATTTTCCCTATGTGGGGCAATTATATCTTTCTTTGATCTTCAAAAATTTCATATTATATATAAATTTTTTTCTGATTACTGAATTTTGAACAAGGAAGATGGATCCCAGCCTGATGTTTGCCATCTGATAGTTGTCCACATATTCCATATGGATTCTCTCACTGTCTACCAACATACAGTCAGATCTTTCAGGATGTAAGCTGGGAGGCCAAACAGGCACAAACCCCTAGCATTTAAGTTTTTAGTGTCCAGAAGACATTTATCCTGCTCAATATTACTTTGTTGAGGCAGGTCCACTTTTGTTCATATTACCTAGTTTTCTACTATGAGCTAGTGTATTTACTGCCAAAAAATTCGAATCAGCATGTAGCTCGTGCTTTGTGAGAGGTACAGCATGGGTAAGTCCGGTCTCCAAGATGGACTGCTTCCTTTTATACCCCCACTTACTCCTGAGTTGACCACACAGGGTGCAACTCACTATTGTTGGACCCATGAGCTCATGGCCAGGTTAAATTACTGGGTGTTATAGACTCCATAGTCAATCTAGCAATGATGCACTGAAGAATTCCCAGGAAATAATTCCCTTAGGGAGGAAGAGCTTCTGAAGAGTTAGGTCTGTCACTAATGATGAATTTTTATAACTGTCTTGCTTTCTTAAGAAACCCATATATGAAATCACTGGCAATTATGTCTCAGTGTGACCAATCTACATTGCAGTAGGATGAATTCCTCCTGGTGATTGAAAACCATCATAAATATTATTGATTTATACCCCTAGTTTCCACTGCTATTGTCATTTCCCCAATATGTTGTTATTTTAAAGTAGGAAGAGGAAACCAGCAGCCTGCTACCATATGCTAAAAATATCCTAATATTGGCTAAAGTAAGGAGATGTCTTCATGTTAAGAGGGATTTTTTTCCTCTGATCCTTAAGATTTTTAGCCCAAATCCATTCATATGCTCTACATTTGCTGCTCTAGTTTATATGTTTTCTGCTCTAGTTTATATACAAAGAAATATCTTGGAGGAGTGTGCACTGGGGCAGCGAATCTTTAATATATGGTGCTTCTAAAACTTTAATGTGCATATGAATCCCCTGGGGATCCTGGTAAAATGCAGATTCTGCCTTTCTAATGAGCTCCCCAATGATGTTAATTTTGCTGTTATGAGCAGGAAGGTGCTAGAGCAGCTGGTATGCTCATGATTTGGAGCCCAAATCACTTGTATTTTGATGACCATTCAGGAAGATGCAAACAGGGAAAATTCTGACATGTCACCATTTCCACACCCACCGAGGGCCTGGTGTCCCTGACCTGCCCCCAAAACAGAGACTGTCACCAAGTGATTGCTATGTCAATAATTGTGTGCCATTTCACATTTAAATACTCAGGGCCTTTTTATCTGGGTGGAGACTATTGGAAGAGGGAGGTGGCGACCAGAGATAAGTCTTATCATTTTCATGACACCAGTAATACATTTTTATTTAAAAAAAAAAAAAAAGCTTCTAAGAGTTTCAAGTAGGGTTTCTTGTACGGCAGGTCAATTCAGACAGTCCTTTGAGTCACGTTTAGAGCAAGAGGTCACATTACTCCACAGGGGATTTGGGGAGGAATGCAGTCTTCCTAGTAAAATAGCCAAGGGTGTGTGTGGAACTATGGGAAGGAGAGCCAGGGTGAAGATTTGCTCTGCTCTAGAAGGGCTGAGTTGTTGATGTTTTAACATTTAATAACAACAAAAGCTCCCATCAATCTGGAAGATCCTTTGCCCATTTGGGCATGTTCATGGTGTGAAACCTAAACATTAATTCCTTAGAGGACTATCTTTGTGATTGGTGGTTAATGGGTTACGCTGTCGCTAAGAACTGTAAGTGCATAGCAAGTAAGCTTGAGACCTTTCGTAAAGGACAGATAGTGGTGGCATTTTCACTGATAGTGCCATCTGAAACTAGCCCACTGGGAGTATTTGGCCAACGGATGCAGGTAGGAAAACAATTTTCCCCTGGGGGGAGGTTTTCAGGGCCTTAGATGTTTGGAAAAGCAGATTAACACAAGTACCACTGAAACAGGTTCTGTAGCTTTGGACAAATCATTGCTGTTATTATTTAATTCCTTATACTATTTTAGTCTTTGTAAAGTAACAAAAAATTAAATTGCATTTATATCTTAAAATAGGTCAGCTCCTTCTGAGGCTAATGTTCAAGTTTTGTCTATCCTCCACCAAAGTCAGTCTTTCAAGTATCTTTTATCTTTTTAAGAAATGTAACAGCGTGTTGCCAGCTTAACCTGCATCCATCCATCTGGCCCTTCCTCCCGCCCTCCGCCCCTCCCTCCCTGCTGCTTAGCATTTACTGCTCTACATCCTGTCCTTTTCAGCCTCTTCATACATAAAAATCTCTTGCGACTGCTCCACTGCTGCCTCCTGAATTTCCAGCCTTCTAACTCTGCCTGGCTGCAAACTGTGCTTAAATAATCTTTTCATGCCTTTCCATATCGTTCCAATCAAGTGACATGCACTGGCCCCCTGCCCCAGCTGATCTAGCTTCTGACTTCAGTCAGCAAGCTTTTCAGTAACTCTGGACCACTCCGTTTTTCTTCTTCCCAGCGTGAACCCGTCTGGTACTGTCTTGCTGCCTGTAGCACTTTAATCCTTCCTCCTCAACGTTCTCCATTGTTCTGTTTTCTGTCTACTGAATGATGTCCCACTGTTACAGGAAATGTCACTTTAAGATAGACCTAGCAGTAACATTTTTCAAGATTAACCTTTAAATACAAATATTTTGCCACACTTAACTCCCTACTCCAACTGGCTCCAATTTTATGATTATTATCTTCATTATATACTTACTATCTTACTTATTCATTTTGCATCCAGGGACTATGTTCTTTTATCACGTGTACTATCCAGGTTTAGTCCATAAACACGCAATTCCCCAGACAGTATTTTGCTACAATGAAAATAGGAATATCAATTAATACAGACTAGAGAGTACCAACATAAGATAATATATTAATATATGTATGCAAAACTGTGTGTGTGTTTAAAAAGGCTGGGGCGCCTGGGTGGCGCAGTCGGTTAAGCGTCCGACTTCAGCCAGGTCACAATCTCGCGGTCCGTGAGTTCGAGCCCCGCGTCGGGCTCTGGGCTGATGGCTCAGAGCCTGGAGCCTGTTTCCGATTCTGTGTCTCCCTCTCTCTCTGCCCCTCCCCCGTTCATGCTGTGTCTCTCTCTGTCCCAAAAATAAATAAACGTTGAAAAAAAATTTTTTTAAAGGCCAAGGAAGGATTGTTTAATAGAGAGTATTATAGAAACAGGATAACATTACAGTAAAATTAAGGTGAGTCCCTGCTTTATCATGTTTCAAAATCAATCAATATGGAATAAAAATATAAAAATCAAATCAATTTATAAGAAAAATTGACAAAGACTAGAACATTTATTCAATATACAGGAGGATAACTTCATTTTTGAAGAAATAAAATAAATTGTAAAGGTATGATTAATAGCTTCCGCAGTATTTAAAATTTCTACACTATTAAAAAACCCCAAAGGCACTCATATATATAATATTTTTAACAATTCATATTTATAAAGGAGACATCCAAACTTCAAAGGATAAAGAGGATACAAATATATTTCACTAGACTGTAAACTCTGTAAGGAAAGGGATATTTCCTTATATTTCACACCTAATACGTATGTATTAAACATTGAAGGAATAATTGAGTAAGGGAGAACAAATAGAAAGCAATTTCTAAAAGCTCATCATTCCAGGAATAAATATATGAAATAAACAACCCTGGATAACTAAAATATGTCAACTGAAATATTTTTTAAAATGATACCATATAATATCAGCAATGTTATAGTAGAATCAGTACCCATTCCTACTAGCAGCTCTATAAATTGGTTACCTTTTGGAAGGAAATGTGATAGTTTGTAATAAGAGCTAATCATCCACCAATGCAGAAATTTATTTTAATGAAGTAGCCAAGGTTAAATGAGTCACATGTGCATATTAAATAGATATAACTACTTAGTATTTCCATATTCATGTATATTTCTACATTAAAGGTACTCAATCTAACTTTACCACAATTAATATTAGGGATATGGTTATGCATATACACTTTGCACAAAGGTATGTTATGAAACCATGCAAATAATATTAATTCTAAAGATGTATGGAGACGTTTAAGTAAAAACATAAGGCATGTTATAATATTATGATTGCAACTATAAAAAGTTCTGTTAGCACATACTAGACAAAATATATACAGGTAGAAATAAAAGCAATTTCATGAGGGTAATGAACTTATGGTCTTCCTATTATTGCTTTTACATATTTTTAATACTGTAGCTTTAATTAAAATGCATAAAGTGATTGCTACTATTTGTAATGCATACATACATATAATTTACATTCTCATGAACCTAGTGAAGCTGTTGGTCTCCCAGGGAAACTGTACTATTTACTTATTGACCAACAGACTCTCTACTGACATTGACATACTCACTAATGAGCAAAGTATAGGCCATGCAGTTTCAACTAAGGGGTGAGGGGAAGCTTGCAAGAAATATTCTTAACACTGTCTACCTTAACATGTCTGTGAAATACAAAGCAGGTAATATTTCCTGCCTATGGAGAACACGGCTTCCAGGCATTTGGGTTGTGTCTGCATCATTGAGAAATGGGATTATTTTGGAGCGAACTGACTGGTGGATACCCATCAGGGGATAAGTAGCAACGCTGAAAATATTAATTGTACTTATTTTTAGGTCTTAGACTTACAACTGACTTTTAAAGGAGTAACTGGTTTATTGAGATATGATTTCCAAACCATAAAATTCCTACTTTTAAAGTGTACAGTTCAGTGATTTTTACTATATTCACTGAGTTATACAACCATCACTATGTAATTTTAGAATGCTCTCATTGCCCCCAAAAGAAATCCTATACCTATTAGCAATCAATCCCCATTCCCCCTCCTCCAGGCTCAAGCAATCACTAATCTACTTTCTGTGTCTATGGATTTCCCTATTCAGGATATTTCATATAAATGGAATTATAGGTGCCTTTTGTGTCTGGCTTCTTTCACTTGGCATGTTTTCAAGGTTCATCTACATTATAGCATGCATCATTATTTCATGTTTTGTGGCTGAAAATTTTCATTTTATTGATATATCACACTTTGCTTATCCATGGACGTTTGGGTTGTTTCCACTTTTTTGCCACTATGAACAATGCAGCCATGAGCATTCATGTACAAGCTTTTGTGTGAACATAGATTTATTTTCAATTCTCTTGTCTACACACCTAGGAGGGAAATTGCTGGTTCACATGGTAACTATATACTGGACAGTTTGAGGTGCTGCCGAAGTTGTTTTCTAAAGCAGTTAGAAATAGAATAGTTAGACTGTTTCACAATCCCACAGCAGGGTGGCTTTTACTTTCTCCTTTCACTCACTTATTCTTCTAAAATGGGCATATATTACTTTAATAATAAGAAAAAAAGAATTATTAAAAAAATCTGTGACTGCCAATCTGTGGGCCATAGGCACTTTGCAATGGGCTTTTAGTCCCCTTGGGTACCATCTCTGTCTTTAAATTTAACAAAGACTGTGGTCTGTCTATCGAGAGAGAGAGAGAGAGAGAGAGAGAGAGAGAGAGAGAGAGAAGCTATTAGGATCAAAGAGAAACCAATTATTTGTTGGAATAAAGAATCTGCTCCCAATCAGTTTGGCCAAAATGATAGACCTGTTTGGAAGAGGAGCAGGATTTCTCTGTGTAACTTGTTGCACTCAACTGTGAAAGTACAGGAAAGCCACCTGTACTGCTGCGGGGCCGAGAATAGGGAGGGGGGAAGAGGGATGAGGAAGCCTGTGTGTGATGGGAAAAGTCCACTTCAGTACATCAGGCATATAGAGCTGTATATCTATATCTGTATCTGTGAGTCTATCTCTATACCCATATCTGTATCTATCACTATATCTGTTAAAATTGGCTATTAGAATTTTGACTAGTGCAGGGTCCTAAAGTAATTTGCTTAAGTAAATAATATGATTGGTATGTAAGATAGTGTTTCTGAGTTGCTTGAGGGAACCCAAAACAATGTAGGTATTGATTACTTGTCTGTCATAATTATCATGTGTGATGTATTGGCGGAGTTCAATTTATCTTCCTTTTAGAGCTTGGTAATAGTACCACACTTTGCCATATTGGAGCTTGAGGCAAAAGGAAAAATTGGTAATATTGACGCTGCTTTCATTGAAAAATTTGACATTTGTTCATTATAGATTTTATTTGCATTAATACAGATTTTCAAAAAACTACACTAAATATTATGTATCTTGATAACTGAGATTTAGGGCACCCCCTTAAATTTTACATCCAAGGAAGTGCCTCCTTGGCTTCATCCTTGTCCCAGCTCTGACTTTGAATATGTTTAGAGTTTTTAGGTAAAAGGGCTTAAAAACTGAGTGGCAATTTAGTCATGGAGAAACTGAGTCATGGATTAGAGCATTTGATGTCATACATTGATAGTCATCTAGTGACTAATTGGGAATCATAGGAGTAACTCCTATCCTTTTATCAAATCAGAAAGTGGTACTCCCTTGTTATATATTTACTAAGGTTTGTAAACCTTAATTCCCATTTCACATATTTGATTAGAAAAACGCATTCTTTCTAACTTTTTCAATATTGTCCCTCTAATTATTTAACACTCAACAAAGTGGGCAAAAGTTTCCCAACAATCTGTAGCAGTTTAATCCTCATTCCTGGCCTTTTAAAATTTTCTGGACAGGGGAAGCACTCTGTTTTTAGAGCTATGTGGGGAACTGATACCACAAAGTAGAATTTTCTGCCCAATTCCTTTGTTCCTCTTGAAGACATTAGGGACCAAATCCCATCCCCCTCTTTCTCTAACCAACTTTTTAGAGATTTTCAGTTTGAAAGTGAGATACTGGAAGAGCCAGAGGGTTAATGAAAATTTCAGTGCATGGAAATGTTTGTCAAACCCATTGGAAGAGTAGCACATCCTGGAGCTATTATTGGCACAGCAAATAGTGAGTGACATTCAGAGTTTATGCTGTTTGCTCTGTGATACTGTTGGAATGAGTTACATCACACGCAGGAGTCACCAAGAGGTGACTCTTTCTGGGCTGGCCAATAACCATTTGTTCTTCAATTTATTATCACAGTGAAGTAAGCTCACTGTCTGTAGTTCAGATCACTGGGGAAGAGGGCAACCCGCACATGAGAAGAGAGCATCATTTAGCCTGGCATTTCCCAAAGTTATCCCTTGACAGTAGCTATAGAAATGGTTTCTTGGGGAAATAAGTTGGGAAGTGCTGCATACTAAATGCCAGTCTGGGAGATGCATATGCTCATTAGCATACAGAAGCTCTGAAAAATCCTGCAGGGAAAACAAAAATCTATGGAGTTTTGTTTAACTCACTTTTGACCAAATTTTGTTATGGAACCTCCTCATATTACTGTGAAACAAGTTGTCCCAGAGCTTAGAGACTTAAAACAATAAACATTTTATTATCTCCTAGTTTCTGTAGATCAGGAATTTGGGAAGGACTCACACCAGGATGGCTCTGACTTGGGGTCTTTCATGCAGTGTAGTCAGGTGGTGACTGATGCTAGAAGAGCAGGTGGCAGGAGCAGCTGGGGCATCTTTCTCTCTTTATGTCACCTTGGAGTATCTCCTTGAGGTCTCTCATGTCGGCTACATTGGCCTTCCTCACAGCATGGCTGCCTCAGGCTAATAGGACTGTTACATGGTAGCTCAGGGTTCCAATGAAAGTATTTTTTTTTTTTTTTTACTTAATGTTTATTTTTGAGAGAGAGAGAAAAAGAGACAGAGAGAGAGACAGAAAGAGACACAGAGAGAGAGACAGACAGAGAGAGGCAGAGAATCCCAAGCTGGCCCCACACCA